CATTACGCTTGAGGCCCGAAGAGCTTTAAGGCCGGTTACAACGGCACTGCGTGAACGCCATATTTCATATAAGTGGGGCTTTCCCTTCGCACTGCTGGCTCGCCACCGGGACACATGGATCTCAGCAAGATGGCCAGCGGAGATACCCCGCTTTTTAGAGACCTTGGAGCTACCACCTATCCCGGTTGCGAACTGGGTCATCGGCCCTGCTGGACAAGGCCCGCGGCCTCAGAGAGCCCCACGGTGGCGCAGGGATGGATCCCCTCAGAGGCGGCCCCCCAGACGGCGCATGGAACACGGAGACCGGGATGAGTGAGTACCGGTCCCTGGAGAGGGGGAATTTGGGCCGCTGCTAACTGCCCATATACTTGACTTGGAGCCTAAGTCTGACCCCCCTGACCCGACTTCCCTCCTCCCTCCCCCCCCCTCACCGTATGAGCTACTGAGGTCCGCACACCTTCACATGGGTGGACTCCCCCAACTCGAACCAGCAAATCTGCCCGCGGGTTCAAACTATGCCGCAATTGGGCATGGGCTGATCAACACCCTGTCCCCTCAGCTGCAACAAGAAGAGGGATTCAAATCCTCTGGTCACACAGGTGACTCACCATTCAACATTATCCCGGCCTGACTACTATACCTCTTATGGACGAACAGAGGACAATAACATTTAAGAGTTATCAACAAGAAACGGGTTATACCCATTTCCCCATAAACGCAGTAAGAAAACAGAAAGCGGAGAGGGGACCAGATAAGAAGGGGAAAGAAAGGAAAACAGGGATTTTGCTCTGCACAAGAACGGCGGTGTTACTCAGACAATGATACATACCATGCAATCTACATATCTTGCGACTCTGAAAAATGATGATACGTCGGACGAGAGCATGGAACAGTAAGAAGCCTGACAAACACATGGATATAACTACTCTGAAAAGTGATTTTTACCCGACCGGGAAATTAAAGACTACTTTTGTACATAAGAACAGTGAAGCCCTAGAGCTGCACCTGATGGGTACACCCCGACCCCGATTTTACTCACTCACTGCCTCCCTTGGCTTCAGTTGGCCTTTCCCCTCATGCTCAGCCATCATATGGGCAACAGGTTGTCTTCCGCGTATCACCCCCCTGATGATGAGCGCATACATAAAAGGTGACCCCGGGGATAACTTGGACTATCTCAGTTTGCAGGATAAACAGGAAGAAACATGGGAGTGTGACATCAACGACGAGACAACATTGACGAAAGAGAAACACAGAGACAGCACAGGCAAACAAAGGGAAAGGACTGTATATACAGCAAGCTATTAATATGACTTTTTTTTTTTTTTTTCCTCTCTTGCTCTCTCTCCCTAATGGCCCACACAGGGACGAGAGGCAATTGTTTCTGTCACACGATGCCCCCTTGAGGACGCTGAGTTGGCAAAAAAAGGTTCTGTTAACCCTCTAGCTACCCTATTGCATCTACACTGGACAGTTGGGACGGAACTACCTTCCCAAATCGAAACTTGCCATAATATACTGAACTCTCTACCACGTAAAGTGTTGGCTATCTATGGTACTGGTAAGCTTTGCCTGAGTAGAGCATGATGATTTGCAGGACTGGGACATATTCTGATCTAGACCGTTACCCCCGATGGGCATGGCTAGGCGATCCACCTAGGACACACTTCGCCCATGCATATATTTATGACATCCTCTAGATTAGGCGGGTGGGTATGTGGTCATGGGATACAAGGTAGCTGGGTCAATCTGGACTGTATAAGGGACACATATCACGCCATAGGCATAGGGTCATCCAGGGCATTGAAGTAAGGGGATGCACCACACGAGAACCGGGGGGGCTACACATGGGGATAACGCCTCACCGGACATATCACCGATAACAATTTGGGAAGCTCACAAAAGTGTCTTGCGGGGCACGCTCATACGCATAGCTACACATAAGAAGAAGACCGCGATGAAGGAAATGGCTAACCTATACAGAAAAATCACGGAGTTGGAAAGCGAGCACAAACGATCGCTCCTCGTGGAGACGTATCGGGACCTGATGCAATCAAGACGACAACTAAAAGAACTTCTTATGAAACGCCACCACCGCTCTCTGCAATGCTCTAAAGCCTTTTTTTACACTCACGCTAACAAGGGGGGGCGATATCTTGCCCGCCTGCTGAGGGGCCAGATACCCCGCACCCAGGTCCGTAAACTAAAACTTACTTCGGGCGTGACCTCTACCCTACCGGTGGACATTGCAGGGGAATTCCAGCTGTTTTATCGATCCCTGTATAACCTAGACGCGGAGGACACACAGGCGCACACGGCACTTATTATGGCACGCACACGGGAGTACCTCCAAGACACGGTCGAATCGGTCATCTCTCCTGACACAGCTACCGACCTAGAGACCCAGATCACGGAGGAGGAATTGGCAGCAGCATTGAAAGCAGCCAAGAAGGGGAAGGCGCCAGGCCCGGATGGATTTTCCGTAGGCTATTATAAAACATTTTCATCCATAGTCTTACCGTGGCTGACCAAGGCTCTCAATGCGATCGCGGATGGGGGTCGCTTTGGAGCAGAATCCTTAGCGGCCACTATCACGGTCCTTCCTAAACCTGGAAAAGACCCATCGCTCTGCGGTAGTTATCGTCCGATCTCGCTGCTGAATGTTGACACCAAACTATTTACAAAAGCACTGGCTACCAGGCTCCAAGCCATTCTCCCTACTCTCATACACAAGGATCAGACGGGATTCATTCCGGGTCGAGAAGCAAGAGATAGCACGCTTCGGCTCTTCGCGATGCAACACCAGGCGCAGAAAACACGACGGCCCCTTCTCCTGATCTCCACAGACGCTGAGAAAGCGTTTGATCGAGTGAAATGGTCATATATGTTTGCCACTCTTGGACAGATGGGAATAGGCCACAGATTCCTCACGATGATTAGGGCCCTGTACGATAAACCACGAGCAGCAGTGCGAGTCAATGGCGCACTCACCGGAGACTTCGAGATATCCAATGGTACGAGGCAGGGATGTCCCTTGTCCCCTCTACTATTTGCCATTTCATTAGAACCACTGCTTCAGAAGATACGCCAGCAATCCGACATTGGAGGCTTTTCATGGCTGGGTACAATACATAAAGTAGCCGCATATGCGGACGACCTTCTGTTCTACATAACCAAGCCTCGAATTGCGATACCATGCCTACTGAGGGAATTTGAGACGTTCGGTTCGATCTCTGGCTTCAAGCTAAACTTATCTAAATGCGAAGTGCTAAATGTATCAATACCTGAGGACGAATACACGGCCCTAGAATCGCTGTTCCCGTTCCGGTGGTGTCACCAAAAAATGAAATATCTGGGGATCTGGATAACTCCACAACCCAGGGATCTGTACCGACACAACTTCACACCTCTCCTGCAGAAAATAACAGAAGACCTGAAAAGATGGGCACACCCACATATCTCATGGCATGGGCGGGTAGCGGTTCTCAAAATGAACATCCTACCGCGCCTGCTTTATCTGTTCCAAACACTTCCACTAGCCCTACCGATTACCTTTTTCTCCGCACTGAAATCCGCGGTCATACGTTACGTGTGGCGTGGGGAGAGGGCGCGACTACGATTTGACTTACTCTGCCTCCCCAGACATCATGGTGGGCTGGCTTTGCCCGATTTCAGAAAATACCAACAAGCCACGGTCCTGCAGCGCATAATTGAGCTACACGCAGAACCCCAACAAAAGCAGTGGGTGGCCCTGACACGGGATAACCCCGACACTCCTGTACAACCAGCCATCTGGGGAGGGGGAACCAGAAGAGTAATGCGAATCACCAACGAGGGGCCACTGAATCAAACGCTATACACCTGGAACTCCATGAGAGAGGTAACTCATATCTCCCCTACCCCTAGCCCAATGCTCTCCATCACTCATAACAAAGAGATCGGGGGCGGGTTTCCACCGGTGATGTGGCCTTTTCTGGAAGGACGTGAGTACGTTCCGATCCACACAGTCCTACAAGACGGATCGTTGCGCTCTGTGGATACCCTATTAGAGGGACGACCAAGGACACCACTGGCAACGCTCCGTTACCTACAGGTGAAGCACTACCACAATAAACTGCGGGACAAGGAATGACTGTATAGGGACCGCACTTGGTTCGAGGACTGCTGCGAGAGGAAGGTCGTATTGGACAATGCTATCTCTATACTCTATCAACACATTTTGACGGGGCATCTGACGGCGAATGCTGTGTTCCGCAGGGAGTGGGAGGAGCGGATGGACACAACCTTTACGCCGCAACAATGGGATAAGGCACTTTTGTGGCAACACAAGAGCTCGGTTAGCTCTCAATATCAAGAAACGAATTATAAATTGATTGCCTCGTGGTATCGGACCCCGGTTCTCCTACATAGGATCTTCCCATCTGTTGCACCTACATGCTGGAGATGCCAAGGGGATAGAGGGACGATAATGCATATTTGGTGGGAGTGCAGCGCAATAACCCCATTCTGGGATCTGATCAAACGACGTATAACAGATATACTGGGCGAAGGGACGGAATGGTCGGCCGCTCTGGCCCTCCTACATATATCGAAGATGCCGATATCTTCCTACAAGAAATCAATTCTCAGACATCTTTTGAACGCGGCTAAGTCGCTCATCCCATTATATTGGAAACGAACGGAGATACCCAATGAAGAGGACTGGATCCGCAGGGTCGAGGATATCCAAGGAGCAGAAGCACTACAGGCATCCCTACAGGACAGAGGGGACAAACATGCCGAACGGTGGTTTCCATGGTTCACCTTCATGTCACGAAACACGGGGGATTAGGGCGGTGGCCCGACGATGTGCGCGGGGGCTCGGGCTCCCCCGGGGCAAGGCCGATGTGCATATTCCAATTATATGACCCTAACTCCACTCACACCTCCTGTAACATGGGTACATCTTTGCTACCCTCCCCACTCTACATCTCATTTGGCCATATATCTCAATCACCGCCAGTGAATGGTTAAATGTCCTATTGGACCCCAGCACACATACCCGAATGAAGACGGAGGCCATGATGTGAGTTCATGTAGTCCAGTGACAGTGCGCTCGTTACCTGTTGTGCAGGGCACAACATCTCACGAGAAGGCATAAAATCTACTCTTACCTCACCCTGATGCTATATGATAGGCATAAATCTAGATAACCAAATCATGCCCCATCCCTTCTCTCCTTTCCTTCTTCTTTTCCCCTCCTTGCCTTTCCTTTTTACTCAAACATTCAGTGATACACACTATTCTAATCTTCATGGGTACATCTCACACATAAGGGGACAGGTTGAGACATTACGAACATATGGAAAAGGCGAATGTAAAATGTTAGTCAGAACCTATTATAATCCACTGGGCGAGAGCCCTATAACCAGCATTAAGTGATAAACTCCGGACTCCGAACTGGTTCCCTTCTTTTTCCACGGCCCAGTAAGGGGGTCTTTCACACAATAATAATAAAAAATACCGGTAGAAGGGAGTCCAATAATGGCTCGGGAATGCTATGCAATGTATTGTGACTACTGCTGTTATGTATGTAACTTTTTGTATCTTGTTACAAATTTGAATTTGTCTGCACACCTTTTTCTTCTTCTCACAATAAAACGATATTGATAAAAAAAAAAAAAAATTGGATCTTTCCCTCTTTGGGCAGGTGATGGTGGCTTCCAAGTGTGAAATAAGGGTAGCTTGTATGCTATTTAAGGCCTTTAACAAAGGTTTCATGATTTAGGGTGAAAAGATTTTACAGTATGGGGTTGTAAAGCCATCTAGGCCTGGGCTTATAGAGCTTGGTACTGAATTAATGGCTAGAGATAGTTCCTCTTCTGACAAGGGTTGCTCTAGTTAATCTGCTACCTGTTGGGGAATAGTAGAGTAAATGTTTTTTTTTAGTATTCTGTGCCCAAGGAAAGTAGACTTGGAGTGGACTTGGAGTACCTCTAAGATAGTAGAGATACTGATAGTAGTCTTGAAAGGCTGCCACTGCCACTTATGTGTATATATGAAGGTTAGATGATTTGCCAGGAGGAAGGCTACTCCGCTAGATTTAGAAGCAGAAAAATTGCTAAAGTGTCTTGAGGGGAATTTATGGTTTTTAAGCATAGGGGTGAATCTGCTCTAAAATGCATTTCTTGAACAAACCACCTTTAAGCTAGGGAACTTTAATAATGCCATTTTAAATTTTTCAGAATTATTGAGGCCATGTATGTTATATGTAATAATTAAGATGTCAGCCATAAATAGAGGACTGGGTTTGGTGACTTACCTGAGCTAGATCATTCTTGGCTATTACCTTTATAACATGAAATAGGAAAAGAACAAAAAATCAAAAAAGAATATATTTACAAACATGGATCACTTAAATATCCCAAAAGTAAGTAAACAGGTGTCTCCCCTTTGTCAGATTTTGAGGCTAAATGCTTGGGTACCGCTCTGGGAGTCATGGTGTGGTTAACACACACATTAAAGATGGTATATGCAGAAATAATTTGCGTGTTTATGAGGCATCAGAGGGTTAGCTTGCCGCAGAGTAGGAAGCATTTTGAATCTTCAGAGCAGTACAGCTTAGATATCTATGCTCAGAGTCTCATGTATTTATACACTGACATAACATATTGGAATCAGTATGTGTTTAGGGTAACTAAGGAGTACACAAAAACTACATATTAATTGCAGATTGAAATGGGAGTTAGAACAGTCATCGTATAGAAGAATATTTACATCCTTAGAATTATTGTTCATGCAATATTGTCATCTGGTACAGCAGCAGGCTGTTATGTTACAGTGACGCCATCAATAGCTTACCAGAAAGCTCACAATGTTATAGGGAATAAAGTGGGATCCTAAAACAAAAGCAGAAAAATGTATAACATTTCTAAATGGTAGATCAGGTAGCTCTCTGTTCTTTTGGAACAAGAAAGGAACGAACAGGTGTGCCAGGTGAAACAGCTTTCTTCTGTCTCAGTGTCTGTTGAGATCTCTCTCTTCTTGGTAGTGGGTTCACTGGGAAGGAGTACCGGTTATCTATAGACTGTCGGTGTAAGTCCAGCACTTGTAAGAGAGGTCAGACGTCTTCACATAGATAAGCATAAGTTAAGTGACTTCAGATCGGATTACTTACATCCAGCATATGGTTGACAATTTATAAGTGGCTATGAGGGCAAAGGGATATGCCCATCTGTATTTAATGCTTCTCTCTCAAAAGATCTGTGATCAGTTTTAACTTGCACCTGTCTTGAAGTGTGGGCCACGACAGGCCTGGTAGGAGTTGGATGCAGGTTTCATTAAAATGATTGTGTCCATGTTTCATACCTGTCTCATGATTTCCTCTTTGTTTGAGAAATAATGTAATTTGTAGATCATGTGTCTTGGAGCATCAAGCACTGCTCCTCTGGGTTTCAAGGTTGTGTGTGCCCCTTCCAGAAGAGCCTTGTTATCTGAAGGTTTTATTGAGTAAAACATTGAACAGTGACTGGATCGTCATCTTTAGGTTCACACTGTGCGGCACTGACCCAGGAATCACCTCTTCCTCTTATTGTAAGGATTCTAAGTGGTTATTCTAAGAAAAAAAAATTAAAACACCATATTTTGATCTGTAAGTTTCTTTCACACACTGAATACGTAGATTAGATATAGTTACATTTTACTTTCAGCACAAACTATTTTGTCAGCCACTAAGAGGAATCAGAACATTTTTCTTTACTGCATATTGAACATTAGCATTCCATATCAATTTAATATATGCATTTTCCAACTCAAAACCTTTTAATGTATTCCTTTTTTTATACAATGGAATAAAAAACCCTATCCTTTTATGACCAGCTCAAATAATAAATGCACTTTGTGATTTGGAAAGAACTAAAATAAAATGGAAATTTCACCATCAAAGATTTTGTTTAATCCATGTTTATTAGTATGCAAATTACTGTCTGTAATTCTGAAGAGTGCAATCTGTCAATATTTCATCTCATATGGATTCTTTGGCTGTTTAGTATTTGTATCTAAAATGGCTGAAATCAATTATGACCCCCAGTGTGGTCCCTACATTGTGATTCGACTATGCAAAAACTTTAGAAAATTATTTTAAAGGATAATATTGTGGTAACATTGAGACACATGTAGAATAAAAGCATTAAACTGCAGAAAACAAAGTTTACCTGAGGCTGTGTCCTGAGACCTCCATTTTTTAACCCTTTAAAGTATTAGGACATGAAAATGTTTTATATTTTTTAGTAGACTCCCTTAAAGCCGGGAGGTATTGGGACAAAGCTTTCGTCATTGCTTTATTGTAAGTGTTTCGACAATTAGAATATATCAAATTAATTAACCCCTTCAGACCGGAGGGTGTACTATTACGCCCTATTATAGGCGGCTCTAAACGCCGCCGGGCATAATAGTACGCCCTCCAGTCTTTCGGTACTTACCGTGGCACGTCCGTCCTCCTCGAAGCCCCCCGGCCATGTGAGAGTGGGGTCCTTGCGAGGACCCCACAATCACATGGCCGGGGGTAGCTGCCTCCTGCATTGCCAGCAGGGAGACTGCCTGTAATGACAGGTGGTCCCCCTGCTGGCTGAAAATAAAAATAAAATAAATAAATAGTGTAAAAAAATAATAATATATACTTAGATCATATATATATATGTTATATATATATGATCTAAGTATATATATACACATATACATACACACACGTACACCGTCTAGGTGTATTTTACTATTAATATATATATAATTATATATATATATTAATATCAAATTACACGTAGACTGATACTGATTAAATATATATATAATTATTGTTATATATATATTTATATATAATATAAAAAAAATAAAAATGTAAATACGTTAAAAAATAAAATTAAAAATAATTAAAAATAAATAATTAAAAATATATAGATGTGTGTTATTTCGTTCTAACTGTTTTGTGAAATTAATATATATATATATATATCAAAATACACGTAGAACGAAATAATATATATATCTATATACATAAATATATACGTATATATCACTATATATATACCTATATATAAATAAAAATATTTTAAAAAATTATATAGATATATACATATATATACACATACGTATATATATACATATATTAATTCTACATATATATTTATGTAATATTTTTACATAATTAGGTATCTTAATTAATTACAATTAGCAGGACCTGCCTGACAACCCATGCCGAAAGTAAAGGGAATTTAATTTGCTAGCACTATATTTAACCCTATAACATTCCAAGACACCATAAAACCTGTACATGGGGGGTACTGTTCTACTCGGGAGACTTCGCTGAACACAAATATTAGTGTTTCAAAACAGTAAAATGTATAACAACGATGATATCGCCAGTAAAAGTGACGTTTTTTGCATTTTTCACGCACAAACAGCATTACACGGACAATATTATTGCTGTGATACTTTTTACTGTTTTGAAACACAAATATTTGTGTTCAGCGAAGTCTCCCGAGTACAACAGTACCCCTCATGTACAAGTTTTATGGTGTTTTCAAAAGTTACAGCGTCAAATATAAGGC